TCTAAGGACCACCGGCCCCTAAACAGGGGTCCGTCCAGAGCTTCCACACTGGGCCAGGCACTGGGGAGGCAACTTGGAAAAGACAGCCGTGGCCCCTGCCCTCAAGGGGTTTAGCCTCCGTTTCTTATTGACTGTTGTTTCTTTGGCATCTAACATACGCATATGTAGTAGGCGCTCAATAAAGTTTTGAAGAAATAAAGGGAGGTGAGAAGGAGGAAGAGGGGAGCTGAGGAGGAGGAGGAGAGAAGGGAAGATGAAGATCCCTCTGGGTGGCAAAGAGTACCCAGGGGTGCAGGCAAAGATGGAAATGGGGGCAGGGCTGGTCCTTCGGTGACAGTGACCTCAGGGCTGACGCGGGAGGCCTGCCGGGAGGACGCCTGTGAACAGCCGGCCCAGGGCTGCTGCTGAGCAGCCAGGCGGCGGGGCCAGGTGCTGTCCTGCGGACCCTGGACAGCCGTTAGAGTTTCCGCCTCTTGAGAAAGGGAAAATGTGGGGCAAGTGGCAGTTTTGAAAGAAAAGTCCAGGGCGGGACCCGAAAGCTTTCTCGGTCTGTTTCTAAAACCCAGGCTGAGACGATGAAGCCCGGCCTTTGGGTTGTGCAGCGGGAGTGGAGCAGGAAGGGCTTGGCTGGGAGCCGTTCCGGGACAAGGCTGGGTCAGACCAGCGATGGCACCGATTGAAAGTAAAGCATGAGGCCCTGACCAGTGTGGCTCAGTGGGTTGGGCGTTGACCCACAAAGTGAAAGCTCACTGCTTTGATTCCTGGTTGGGGCACATGTCTGGGTTGTAAGATAACTGGGTCATCTTACAGTCCCCATCACGGGTGCATGTAAGAGGCAACCAATTGATGTTTCTCTCTCACATAGATGTTTCTCTCCCTCTCTTTCTCCCTCTTTTCCCCTGTCTCAAAAATAAATTAAACATCTTTAAAATAAATAAATAAATACAGCATGAGCCCTGGCCAGTGTGGCTCAGTTAGTTGGAGCACCCTCCCATAAACCAATAGGTCACAGGTTCAATTCTCGGTCCTGGCACGTACCTGGGTTGCAGGTTTGGTCCCTGGTCAGGGTACATACAAGAGACAACCAATCAATATTTCTCTCCCTCTCTCTCTTCCTCCTTTCCCCTCTTTAAAATCAATGATCATGTCCTTGGATGAGAAAAAAAAAATAGGATAAAATAAAATAAAAATAAAGCTTGAAAAGGGAGGTCACACTGACTACCAGGAGAACATCAGGGGATGAAATGGGAAACTGAGGCAGAAAATCTTGGACAGAGGGCGCAGGGTGTGCTGAGTCTACCGTGAGTTCCAGGACGTCCCTCCCTGCTCAGGTCAGAGTCGGGGGGGGGGGGGGACAGACCTTGGCTGGGGGCGGAGGGGGACGTCAGGTCCCGGTCATCAGTTTCTCACAGACAGCCCAGTGCCTGCCTCAGAGCAAGTCTCAATAAACTCGTCACTGAACAGATGTTCTCAGGGGGCTTCCTGTCTACCAACCATATGCAGCTGGTCATAGCAAAGGGTGCCAGGCTCATTCAAATGCCCCTTCCTTGGAGGAGGAAACGTGGGGACTAGGGAACCGGGAGTGAGGGGAGGGTCAGGGCACCCTTTGGGCCAGGACCTCCCCTGGCCTGCTGCGGTGTGCCTAGGGGTCCTGAGCTGGGAGGAGAGGCCCCAAGGGCTGTCCCATGGGTGAAAAGAAGTGGGCCCACCCCTCCCCCTCCCCATCCACAGCACCTCAACTTTTATCTACTCGAGAGACTGACGCTGCATTTATGATTCTGTTTTTTAAAAAGCATCCCATTGATTTAAAAGGGAAAAAAGTATTTGTAGTGTCTTGTATTGAATATGCAAAAATTAAAATTAGACTGAAAAAGAAAATTGCCAGTGAAAGCACAAACATAATTTGCAAATTCTGTTCTCTGGGTGGTTTGGGGGGACTATTCTGTGTGTCGTCTGTGCCCAGAAACCTTCTTTCCATGGAAAAGCTGAGGGGACCCAGACAGACAGGGAGTGAGAACCACACGTCTCTCAGACGCCAGCTAGGGTGGAGACGCCTCCACTCGAGGGACCCCCTCACCCCTGCTCTTCCTGCCCTCAGGCTCCTTCCTGTAGGCCCCAGGTCTTGTCTGGGGGGTGCTCTTCTGCCTGCTCTCCCTCCTGGCTCTGAGACACCCCCCAAAGTGAAATAGTGGCTCTTCAGCATCCACCGCCAAGGCCCGCTTTCACAGGGCACACCCCCACACCTTCCTCCAGAGCCTGGTTTCCATGGCGACCGCCTCTCCTCCCTCAGGGCACCATCCCCGCCACACTAGGGTACCTCCTCCAGCTCTCCTCGGGATGTTTCCTGCGCCCAGCTCTCTGGTTCTGCTCACCAGCCCCGAGAGAAAGCGGGGTCAGGGGTGGGGCAGCACTTTGGGGGCCCCCATTCGTGGACGTTTCTGACGTCTTGGGCACCACCGTGTTTCGGGCCTTCTCAGCAGAGCCCCTCGGCTTCCTGCTGACAACGCGCTCGCTCGCTGTGATGACATGCTCTTCCACAGCCTCTGCGGCTGTCTTGACTCCGTCCTCTTTGCGAGAAAGATTCGGAGATAAAGGAATGAGCTGAGATTTCATCCTCGGAGCGGAGAGAGGAAGCTCAGAGAGAAGCATGCTCCCCATCTGTTCTCCCCCACCCCCCGTGGCTCCCCACTCTCAGGCACATCCCTTCCCCGATCCCGGCCGCCTCTTGCCCCTGCCCTTCCTCTTCCTGCCCCTCCTGCCCCTTTCTCCTGCTCTCCTCACCCCTCGCCCTCACGCCCTCTCCCCATCTCCTTTCTCTCTCCTCTCGTCCCTCCTTCTCTCTCTTCTTTTGGTGCCAGAAACAGCCTAATTACAACAGAGAATGCAAAGAGTCAAAGAGGAAAGAAAAACACCACACATAGCTGATTAAAATGTCCTATAAAATCTAATTTGTAAAGCTCAAATCAGAATAAAAAGTGTTACTCCCACAATTCCGGGCCCATTTGACTGTGAGGGAGGCCTCTCAGAGACCCAGCCAGGGGCCCATCGGGCTACAGACCAGCCACCTACCCTCCTGCCACAGACTCTCACACGTGGACTCTGTTGCTCCTTTTGGGGGCTCTGCCCACCTGCCGCCACCACCCTGCTCCCCTTAGAGCGGCACACCAGTCACTCCCTTCTTAGGGCCATCAGTGGAGAGGTCTGTCCTATCTGTGCTCTGAGCCCTGGACTTTGTGTCCCCAAGGTGAGCAACAGCCAGTGTCTAGGACCTTTGGGGCCATCCTGCCTCTTCCCAGTCGGGGAAGAGAGGCTTCGGCAGCAGCCTGCCCCCCAGGTCCAGTTTTCCTGGGCTGTGTATTTGCGTCTGCAGAGCAGGGCTCGGGAAAGGAGGGAGGCCCGGAGTCAGTGGACCCCAGGTCAAACCCCTGCCCCGCCACTCACTGGCTGTGTGACCCTGGGCAGGTGATTTTGCCTATCTGATCCTGGTTCCACGGTGCACCATGGGGCGAGTTCTGCCCTGCAGTGTAATCAGATAGACTACAGCAGGAAGGGGACGTGAAACGTGGTCGCACTGTGGGCAGGTGCTCAGTAAATGCCATCGCCCTGTTGCCCGCTCAGCTGTGGCCCCCCCAGGGAGCGTGGTCACTGCACCCCCATCTGCAGCAGCCCCTCCAGGGCCAGGCTCAGCGATCTGCACGCAGCGTAGCTCAGCAGGTGAGAACATAGTCTTCGGGGCCCGAAAGTCTTGTGATCGCAGCCCTAGTTCTGCCCCGAGATGCGCCCCAGACAGTCCAGTGAGCCTCTGAGGTCCCAGTTCCTAAGCCCCTGGGAAATGGGGTTGATGAGGTCCATGTGAGGGTGCAGCCCCTCAAGGTGAGGTGCACGCAGCACCTGGTCAGTAGCAACAACCACAGACCCTGTGACTGTCTTTCACCTCCTGTGCCTCAACTGGAAAATGGGAATCAAAATAGCACCAACCTCACAGGTTGGCATGAGGATGGAAACATTAATGAGCTAACATTTTAAACCCTAGAGCGATGCCGGGCACATTGTACACACTGCATTTAATAAAACACGACCTGGCCGCTCACGTGGCTCAGTGCCCTCTCGCTCTGAGGTATCTGCGGGAGGGGGAACCTGGGGGCCCAGCCCTGACTTCCTCCCCGGGGATATTGAGGCTGGAGTAGGGTCTGCTGCAGGAAAGAAAGGGGCTGGGAGGACGTGTGGAGAGGAGAGTGGCCCCTCATGCCACACTCCCCGCCACCACGGCTCCACCACACTCACCTGCCAGGTTTGGCCAAGGCCCATCCCCGAGCCACACAAACCATAGCATTATTCCCAGGACCCTCGGGTTTAACCAAAGCGCACCACTCCCCACGCCTGCTGTCTTCGTGGAGCACACGCCCCTCAGAACGTGGCCAGCCCGAGGGTCTCGGTCCTGCCCCTGCCCTGCTGTGGAAGTGGGCACCAGCACGTGGTGTGAAGTAGGAGCTAGCCAAATGGAAAGGGGAAAACACATCCCGCCCTGCCCAAGTGGCTCAGTTGGTTGGAGCATTGTCCTGTGGACCGAAGGTTGTGGGTTCAATCGTCGGTCAGGGCACATAAAAGAGGAAACTAGTTGACGTTTCTCTCTCACATTATTGTCTCTCTCTCTCTCTTTCTCTCTCCCTCTCTTCCCCTCTCTCTAAGAATCAGTGAGTTTGTCCTCAAATGAGAATTTAAAAAAGAAAGAGAAAAGCACGTACCAAGGGCAGCGAGTGGTGGGAGTGGCCCGTTTGGGGGAGGGCGACTGCCTCAGCCTGAGTGTATGTGGGTCAGGTGGGGATCCAGCTGGGGGCAGTGAGGGAGCCACCGCTGGGCCCCAGGCGGGAAGGGGATGTCCTGGGGTGGGGGTGGACCTCATCCCTGGGACGGCCTGGGCTCCACCACCATCACTTGGGGAGAAGCCCCCCAGGCTCTGCTCCCTGCAGTGATAGACCACTGTGCTTGTCTCCCCACAGGTCAAGTGTACTCCTTCAGCCAGCAGCCCCAGGACCAGGCCGTGGTGTCGGGGCAGCCAGTAACACTGCTTTGTGCCATTCCGGAATATGATGGCTTTGTCCTGTGGATCAAAGACGGCTTGGCACTGGGTGTGGGCAGGGACCTCTCAAGTAAGTACCCCCAGACCTCCCCCACCTTCCTGGAAAGGCCTGGGACCCACCCCTGCCTTCCCCACCCACCCACCCACCGCCCCCCAGGAATCCCACCTCAGGGGGTCAGTGTGGCTCCCCCAGGCAGAGTCGGGCTGCGCAGGCCCTAGGTCCAGGGTCCAGGGGATCCGAGGGCCCCTCAGACAACTGGAACTCAATGACCACTAACCCCTCAATTCTAGTGCTCGCTCCCAAACCTGACACAGCGCTGCCCCAGACCGTCTGTTCTAAAGTCAAACTTGATTCCTGTCAAGTCAAATTTCCAGAGATGACATGTTCTTGTTTCTGCGTCCAAAATGCACTCCCCACTTTTGTCACCACCTGGTTCTTCCAAGCTCCCATCCGTCAAATGGAGCCAAACAGATTGAAAACTCACACACACACACACACACACACACACACACACAAAACCCTACAGTCACCATGTAACAGGAAGAAAAGAAAAAAAAAAGTGTTTGAAATAAAATCAGAACCTTGCCCAGCCCTCGCCCCCAGGCTGGCACTGACCTGAGATGCACTGGTGGCTCCTGGGGCCATTGGTGGCGGGCACCTGCGCTCCCTGGTCGGCACCATGCCCACGCACCTGTTAACTATTGTGCATGTCAGCCCTCTAGCCGGTAGACCTGTCTTCCCAATCCGTCCCCTCCCCTGGGAGAAAAGAGCGTGGAACCACCCTCCATGCCACATGCCCCATCCAGCATCCTTCCTCTCCCCTGAGGACACCAGGCCTGCGACTGCTTGTTAGGCTTGGCACAAACTGTAAAACTCAGGACCAGGGACCTGGGTGTCCCTGCAACTGGGGACTGGCTGAGGGCAGAAGAGGAGAGAAAAACGTGTATTTGACAGAGAAGCAGCCTGGCCCCTCTCGTGGGGTACAGCCATGGGAAAGTAAAAATCAAAGTGCTCTCTGCAACATGATGGTGGGGGAATTAATATTTTAAAGTGTGAGTTATGTCTTGCCAAAAATGTATATTGAAAAATTATAGCGACGGCCAATGGCATCACAGGATGTGAGTGCTGCGGCCCAACTGAGCGTGGAGGAAACACACAACAATAGCTCCAGAATGTGTGAAGCTGCCATAACATTTAAGCACGATGGGAACCAGCCGTGTTCCAGGCCTCTGGACTCCCGGACCCTAGAGGAACTGCGGGGAGGATGCGGCCTTCCCACACTAGAATCGCTCGTGCCCTGCATGTCTCAGAGCCTGGCCCCGCACTGTTGCTGGTTAAGGAGGCTCTCGGGGACCCCAGTCAATGGTTTCCAGCCCTCGGTCGGGAACTGTGGTCTTGCTGAGTCAGTGAGGCCCCGGGTCCCTGGGGTGGGTCACAGACTGGTCATTGCTGCACAGATCACTGAGCCTCTGTGCTCATTTCCATGAATGGCTTTCCGGGCTCCAGGACCAGGTCCTGCTGGTGCTGGAGGGCGCTGGGCACTGACGAGCAGGCGTCTGCTTCTCCCTCGCCTTGACTCCATTTATTCGAAGAAGTTCAGCCATCTCCCTGCAGAGCCAACAAACTCCAAATCCTGGTAGGGCGTTTCCTCTGCATTTGACCACCGGTTCCCAAAATAGCATCAAGGCAATAATGACAGACACGCACACACCCCACAAATACTGAGGGGAAAGTGAGAGTAACAGATCTCAGTTCAGTTCAGCGAGTGTTTTGCAGAGCACTTAGCACCACTCCATTTTCCTGCGGGGCAACTGAGGCTCCGTCTTGCGGGACTTCCGCCTGCTGCGGCCTGCGTGCAGTCCCCCAGGAATGGTGCCCTGGACAAAGACCACACAGTCTTTCTGGTCACCACGGCTGGAAAAAACAGTCAAAGGAAGTGATTTATAAATATACTTCCTCGTGTTGATAGCACACTTTTCTTTTAAGAAGCTCAGGCAGTCTCTCATAAACCTACAACGGTCCACAGGGAGAAACAGAAGGGTTTTCCCCTTTATGTGTCAGGTAAACAGAGTCACAGCTGAGAGAGAAATTGATTCAAATATACACTAAAGCCCAGTAGCTGGGACCCTGGCCCCTCACCCCCAAAAGGCCCAGACACCGGGTCTGCTCTCATTTAGAAAGACGGGACCTCTTTGCTGCCCTGCCTCACGGACACTGTCCTGTAAACCACCACGTACAGACCACCCACAAGGTGCCAGGCACCTGACACAGGTTGTCCCGTCCAATTGTCACCAGGACTCTGCGAGGTCCTAGTTTCGCTCTCACGTTACTGATGACAGAAGCACAAAATAAAAGTGACTGACCCAGGACACCACGTACAGGATGGGAGACGGCTGGCATTTATTTGAACCCAAGCAATCTGACCGCAGAACCCAGACTCCCCCTGACACTGCCTCTCCTGCGAATAGCAAGAGGGAGTAAACGCTGCTGTGGAAGGAGCTAGAACTTGCTCAGACTCTACGCTTCTGGATGTTTTCTGAAGACGCTGCCAGTCCTTGGGATATCATCACAGCTCTGTCACCTAATTAGGCAAACACAAACAAACCCATCACTGATGTTTTCAGCAGCTCCTGAGAGTGAAATCGTGGCTGATCGCTTGCTTGCTTGCGAGAAAACAAAAACACCAGCTCCAGCCAAGAGGCCTGCGGTGGGGCGGGAACTCATCACAGGACAGCGGGATCAGAGGCTGGGCCCAAGGGGCTGGCGCGGTCAGCCAGCTGCACTGAGCAGGGCAGCGCCAGGGAGAGCACTGGCTAGAACCCATTTCCAGCCCTCAGCCTGGGGAGACCAGTCTAACTCACCTGGGCTCCTTCCCCAGACCTGGCAGAGGGCAGACAGGGCGGGCAGGAGGGGAGGCAGAGGCGGTGCTGTGGGGGTGGGCAGTGCCCTGCTGCTTGCCCTGTGAGCCTCTCTCTGGCCTGGCCTGAGCCGCTGTGGAGGGCAGGCCACCTAACTGCATGTTGGGGACATGCCAGCCATGAAGACATGAGCCTCAAGGGCTCTGCTGCACAAGGAGCACCCGCAAAACGTACTGGGAAACCCAGCAGAGAATGACAGCTACCTTCAGGGACCAGGAGTGGGGGGCCCTGCATCACCCACCCTCCAGGGAGCCCTGACCTGCCTCTGGAAGACCCTTAGCTTGTGGAGGTGGATGGGGCCATAGAGCTTCAATATTTTTCATCGGTAGAAACCTCTGCAGAGTCCCTGACAGATGGTCACACCACCTGTGCTTGAATACAGCCAGTGACAGAGACCTCACCACCACTCCTGGCAGCCCCGACCCTTGTTGGACACCTCGGTTTGTTAACATTCTAAAGCATTTCCCTGTGGCGATTCTGCCGTCAGTGCTGATGCAGTCCTAGGGAGGAACAAAAATGCATCTGACGGACATGGAGAGACTTCGAAATGTTTAAAGAGAGAGAGCTTTGCACGTCCCTGTCTGTCTCTGTCCGTGTCTCTCACTTGCTTAAGCCCTGGTCTCCCCTTTTAAAGGCCAAATGTGTTCAACTCTCCTCTCCTGTGGCACCTTTCGGAGAAGTCACACTGTCCTGGTGAAGGCCTTTCAGAAAGAGGAGTCATTTGGGACTGCCCAAAGGTGGACAGGCGGTGGACAGGCCTCTGAGGAGAGAAAGGGACCAGGACAGGGAGGCGGTACCTTATGAGGGACGGTGGGGGGAGGGCAGAGCTCAGACAAGGGGAGGGGTGGAAACAGATCCCACTGCGGGAAAGTAAGGGGGCTTAGGACCCAAGACCCTGGAAAGAGAGGAGCTGCCCAGCGTGGTCAGCTATGACTTGGGTTGGTGTTTACATTCAACCCTACACAGCAGCAGGGAAGCTGATGAATGATTTATCATGCTCAAGCCTTTATTTATCTATTATTCATTTTCAGAGATACAGGGGGCCCCAGATCCCTAAGTGTCCTTATAAGTGCTTAATCAGACCCTGGGGTTTGGGGGTGAGCCAGAGACGTGAGGAGAAAAGGGCCGCTGATGGTTCAAAGTGACCCGAGCTTCCTGGGCACTGGCAGGGTGGGCCCAGGCTGTGCATCCTGAACAAAACTTCTCCCCAAAGTCACTCTGAATCCTTTCACAAACACTTTTCTGTTTTATTCCTTCTCTCACTCTCTCTCTATCTCTCTCTCCCTGCCCCACTCCCCGTTCTGTCTGTCTGTGGACCCCAGCCCGGCTCTTTCTGTCCCCGTGTGTATGAGTCCTTACCAAAATGCATGTCTACTTGGTAAACCATGATGCTCAGCGCTCCGCTTTCTGCAGTAACAAGCCTGCTGGGTCTGTCCCCACTTAGCATTTCCCTCCGCATTCTCTCCTTCGCTCTCTAACGATAGCTCCCCCAACAGTTCTAGACTTAAAATCGACAATTCCCTTGCCCGCCCACACTCTGCCCCAGTGCCCCGGGGACACTCGCATGGCTGGGCTCCTCACGCTGAGCTGGGGACCCGAGCCGCTGCCTGCTCTGCCAGCCGCTAAGACGGCCCAGCCCCTGCTCAGATGTGTGCCGCTGTCCTGTTGCCAAGAATGTCACCTCCACGCCTGGGCCAGCCCCTTTGATCTGCCTGCTGCCCCACAGGTTACCCACAGTACCTGGTGGTGGGGAACCACCTGTCGGGAGAGCACCACCTGAAGATCCTGCGGGCAGAGCTGCAAGATGACGCCGTGTACGAGTGCCAGGCCATCCAGGCCGCCATCCGGTCCCGGCCCGCACGCCTCACCGTCCTGGGTAAGCACTGTCCGCTGCGGGGCAAGGACACCATGGGGGACACCACAGGCTCAGTTCCAGAAGGTGCCTCCCGCCCCAGTGCAGGGGGCTCCCGGTGGGCCAAGCCCCAGGTGTTGTCTCACAGGGCTCGGCCGCCGGCCCCACTGTCTTCATAACCCCCTCCCCACCAAAAGGGAAAAAGTGGAAGTTCCTGCCCTCGATATCAGAAGGCCACGGCCACCTTCCCTGTGACCTTGTCTACCGTGTGGTTTAATTCTAGCTCAGGGAATGGACAGGGGCTCCTGGATGCTCATTGGTTCCATCAGAAAACCTGCTCTCCATGCACAATCTGCCGGGCCCTGTGCTAGGTGATGGAGAGACGGAGGAGAAGGTGACACTGCTTTGAGTCACTTCTTTCTGGATTGACCTCCCTCAGGTGCTAACCAAGCCCCATCTGGCCAGTTCCCCTGTCAGAGTCCCCAGCTTGCTTGTCCCTGTGACTTCAGCATCCGCAGGGACCACTGCAGCCACTGTTCCCTGTCCTGTCCCCCCTTCCCTGCTCCTGGGAACCCTGAGCGGATGACATCGTGTCTGGGAAAACTCACGTCCGGTGCTTATTTCAGTTCACAACTTTGCTCTTGGTCTCTCTTCATCTCGGTTTCCCAGGAGCCTGGTGTCCCCAGGATATCCTGCCTAAACAGGGCACCCCGTGCCTCACTGGGGACACCTGCCGGGACACAGGGAATGGGCTCACTACCTCTTCAGTTGCCTCACCCCTGCCGCCTCCTTCCTCCAGCACGAGGTCACGGAGGAGCCAGGCCCCTGGGAACAGAGCCTCGCACACAAGTAATAATATCTGCGTGTCTGCAGCTGTCAACGGCAGCTCTCAAAGTACTTTCACTTACCCTTCTTCAGCAATTTTGATGCAGAACTGCTGTGGGGCAGAACTGCCACCCCGGTGAGAAACTAAGGCTCTGAGAAGCAAAGGGCCTGGGCCAGGCCTCTGGCCGGAGCTCTGGGCACCACCGTAGGGCGTGTCCACCAAGCCCCCTGCGGGACAGAGCTCAGCAGCCAGAGAGGGGCTCCCGGGTTCTGCCCCGCCTGCCTCCTCGCAGTTCCTGAGAACTGAGAGCTTTGACAGCGGGGTCAGCAGCCTGGGGTGCTGCCCCCTCGCCTAGCAGAGAAGGCGCAGGGCCGCACCGCGATGAAATATTTACGCAGGTGTCAGGTCATCTTCAGACCTACACGGGCAGTGGGCGGGCAGATTAGCCCAGCGCAGCGACAGACAGGCCCCGGAGGACCACTTACTGAGTCAGAGCCTGGCTTTCCGAGACAGGGAGGAGGAGATGGGGCCAGGCTCAGAGCCTCCTGCGGCCGTTGCGTCTCCCCGGGCCTGCGTTGAGGGGGACAAGAAAAGCAAGCCCGGCTGGCGGGGTGGATACGCTGAAGTGACGTGGTCGGGAAGTGGGCCTTCGGGCAGTCGTCAGGAATGGTGAGGGGTCAGCCGCCATTCCATCTCTCCTGAGATGGGGATGAAAGTGGAGCTGGGTACGGGGCTTGAGGGGAGAGAAAGGCAGATTTCGTGACAAATATATTGTCTGGTTTATGAGGCTTGCAAAACACCGGAACAGATTTGCTGAGCCAAGTTGTGGGATCTTCATCTTCAGAGGTTGTTTAGCCCCATCCCCGGGAGGATCTGCCTCCTGCTTCCTTGCTCCCTGTGGGAGGGGACCGAAGAGGCTAAAGTGAGCGGGGAGCAGGGCGTCGCCCACCTGCGCTCCCCGCAGGCCCTAAAATGGGTGGGGGTGCGTGTCGTCCTGAAGTGGTCGTCCAGGCAGCAGAGCCCCACCCGGTCCTGCCACACAAGGTACAGGTTCCGTTCCTTCTGTCACAGTTAGGAAACAAAGTCCGAATTACTCCAAATGTTTGACAGATAAGGGAATCAAGACGGAGAGAGGCAAAGGCACTTACAGGAGGTCACACAGTTTAATTACACTCAGACCAGACCCCAGATTTTCCATCTGCAGCCAAAGCCCTCTGCCTGACCCCCATGTTCCCAGATGCCGGCAGAATCTCCCTCATCTGGCCGGATGAGGGCCGGGCTTCTGGGAGCAGGGCCTCGGGTCTGGTCCAGACAGACCTGACTTTGTCTCAGGCCCCATCGCAATGGCATTCGCTCCCCCTCCTCCCTCTCCAGCGGCACGGCCTGGCACTGCCTCTGGGCACAGAGCTGGTTTGTGCAGGGAAGATGTTTCATTCAAGTGCGGGGCATACTGAGGAGGCAGAAGGGAGAGTTTCCAGGGCAGCCCAGCGGGGAGGCCTGGGTGACATTCCTGAGAGCCAGGAAGGGGCCTGAGCAGGGACCTTTCACGCAGACTCCACAAAAACAGCTCCTCCTAAATACACCAACCCCCAGCCAGAAAGAGCTTCCCCGACTCCTCAGGGCCACCCTAGGCCCCCACCCCTGAGCTGGTCCTGTAGGTCCCCAGCCCTCGGCTGGTCCTGAAGGGTTCTGCCCAAGGGACCAGCCTGGCTGCCCTTCTCTGTGGTAGACAGCCCCACCTGCTGCCCTGGAGGGAGGCCCTGCACACAGGAGCTCACCCAGCCTTCTGGAAGGTGAGCCCTGGCCTGTACATGGTGGTAGGCAGGCAGAGAGGCTGTTTCGCCCGAAGGGAGAGGGGTGCTTCCACCCTGCCCAGCCAGCTTCCCAGCCCAGACCCCATCTGTTCCACTGTGACGTCTCGGCCTGGGAAAATATCCCAGCCGGTTCCCCAAGAGGGTAGAGGGAGGTGGCTGCCTTTCCTGTGTTCCAGGAATGAGAGAGCTTCCTAATTTAGTCTGTATTTGCCTGAGATCGATTTTTAATTAAATAAAGTAAGAGCCTGATTAGAACCTGCAGAAGATGCGAGAGCAGAATCAGATGGTATTCTGGCAAAACTGCAAAGCAAACACTTTGGCTGGAACAGAGGGAGACCCCCAGGGGTCTTCCATCAAAGCACCAAGTGAGGAGGGCAAATACAAGAGACTATAGCCCACAGATGTGCATTGTGAAAATATGCATCTGCCGGCACCGCTTGGAGAAGCCAGTGGTGGGGGGGCCGGATCACAGAGCCTGCCGGGCTCCCGGGAGGGCGCGGGGACTCGGGCCCAGCAGCCAAACCCAGAGTCACAGACATATTAATTAGCCTTGCGTTTCCAGCTCTCAGATGCAATCAGGCAAGGAGCAACGCTGAGCTGAGCATTTGCTCCCCCAGAAGGCACATGGCTGGGGGAGGGAGAGAGGAACAGGGCGGGTGGGGGCAGAGAGAGGGCAGGGGCTGTACTTGGGAGACTGAGCCAAACAAAGCCTGGGGGCCAGTCCAGGCCAAGGGGCCGCCTTCCCTCTGTGACCCAGCCAGCCAGGGACCATGCTCTGACTCAAGTCAGCTCGAGACATGCATCTTTCCGCCCCCAGAACATCTGAAAATCCCGGTATCGTGGAAAGAGCAGCAGTCCCGGTCCGGCCATGAACCAGCTGTGTGACCTTGGCCCTGTTACTCCGCCCCCGGGGGTCCCAGTGGCCTCATCTGTTCAATGGTGGTGGTGGTGGCACATAAGATGACCTCTAAGAACTGTGCAGCTCCCAGAACGCATGGCTTCCACACTAAGGACCCAAATGTCACAGCAGCTATTTTAGGTAAATGCTCTAACCTGTACTGGACCCGGGATTTGTGTGGTGGCAGAGGCAGAGGAGGGGACAGTTTTCAGTGAGGACAGAGATGGGGCCTCTCAAGTCCCATCCAGCTCTGGCATTGGGAAATGGGCCGTACATCTTGGTCTAGAGTCCCCCTCTGTCTCCAGCCTCCCCCCTCCCTTGTCTGCAGAGACACAGAGCAGTTGACCACGTGCCTGTGCAGAGCCGGGGGACAGGAGGGAGAGCCCTGACTGGGGAGGGGATACCTGCCTGCAGCTTAGTGCCTGTGTGACCTTGGGCAGGTCCTTAGGGCTGGCCCTGGGTCTCTAGTTCAGTTCTCTTTAAACAGTACTTAGTACTCAATGCGGTTTGAGGGTTTTTAATAAACAAGTGAATGAATGAGTGAATGAGTGAAGTTTCTAGTTCTTAATCTATAAAATAAGGATAATAAAAATACCAACCTTCCAGAATTGTGATCGTCACACTAACATGCACACATGTACCCACACACACACACACGCACATGCATGCAGACTGCCCCTTCTCCCTCCTGCAGGAACCCCAGGGTTGAAAACTCCTAAACTGTGCCGGGGCCAAGGCTGAAAGGAGGCTATTGCGCTTGGTCTTTCTACGTGCCTGAAAACTTGGGAAGCAAGGCGCTGAGGGACCAGAGGGGGGAGGAGTTGATCAACAAATATTTACTGAGCACTTTTCAGGTGCCAAGCACGGATCTGGGTGCTTGAGATGCATCCGTAAACAAAAGAGAAGACCAGGCCCCGCCCAGCAGAGCATGTTCTAGCAGGAAACAGATGGAGACCAGTAACAACACAGAGTAAACAAGTAAACCACGCCGCTGTGTCGGTGTCCGCTGGCATGAGCACCGTGAGAAAGAGGGGCAGTGGGGTGAGGGGACTGCAAGTAGGCAGGGCAGGGGGGTGGGTGCCAGATTAATTATTTAAAAAGGTGTTTTCCCAGTCTCCCTCCCCCACCCCTCTTCTTCCTGGCCCGTTCTAATATTAACACTGCTGCCTGGTAGCTCCCATCAGAAACAAAGCTTCCCAAACCAACATGAATTATTGAACACGGCGACCAAGTCAGCTGAACTAAAGAGAGCGTCTTTAAACTGACATCAGGCCCAGAATACTGAGAGGGGAAAACAGATAAGGTCCGGGCGTGTCCTAACCTTGTGCCTCTTTTAAATGCATGAGCCCTCTGCAACTCCGCCACCAGGGGAACTGCAGGCAGAGAGGTCCTGAGTGCACCCCCCACGGCCGACCCCTCACCTCGGGGGAGGTACACCCAGGGAGTGGCAGTGGATGACTCAGGCCCTGAAGCAAGCGAAGGCAGA